AATTTTTAATGTCTGAAGAAGATACAAAATTCGCAAGCCCAAAAATTCTTTGTACAGCATACTAGTGAAAAAATTTCAGGTACTCGAAAATACTCGAGTATATTTTTAAGTACTCGTAAAGAAAACTACCGAGTACGAGTACGAGTACGAGTACTGAAGATTTTGTACTCGAGTATACTCGAGTACGAGCATATACTCGTACTCGCCCATCTCTGATAAGTGATGAGATATGTAACAATTTGATTTACCGATAAAGATCTAAATCATCTCAACATTACGGTTTAAAGTAATTGTTTATTGAGAAGAAAATTGAAAATCATAGATTTTTCTTACTTTTTCAATAAGAATATCTATACTAAGAATTTCGCAAAAAGAAAGTACCTGTAAATGTTCGTATTGTACAAAATTAGAGATTTACCATAATCGTTAGATTATTTTGACAAGTCTTATTGACTATGTTTATTATTTGTTATTATTTCAACTTTTTCAAGAAAAAACAAGAGCGAAAAAGAAAAAACAGGACAAAAAAAATCATTATCGGTGAGCGTAACAAAAAACAAACTACAAAAGAGAAATAGAAACTGTACCGTATTTGTTTATGTCTTAGAAAGCAAACAAAAAAAAAGAAAACAACTGAAATAACATATGGATGTAAAAAAAAATATACATAAAACAATGATAGAATGTACCTAGAAATATCTCTGTATATATATATATACATACATACATACACACATCGCACAGTAAAACAACGCATTGATGTTTGTCTTAAATAATTAAATGAACACAACGTACTTCAAAAACAATAACAGTTCGAAACTTTGTTTATCTTTCTCTTTTTGTTGATTAAAAAAAAGTAAGCATGTGCAAAACAAAAATAGACCTAATATTTTTCATCATTTTGAATTGAAACATATACACAATGCAGCAAAAAGAGAAAGAAAATATTAATAAATAGCAACAAAAACGAAGATACAAATGTCTTTTTTATTTTGTTTCGTATTTCTAATATACGAATCTATCTCAATGATGTAGATACAATATTTTTTTTTCATCTTCATTGGACGAATATGAGAGAAAAAAAAGTAGTGATCGAATTCGAAAAGAGAAAAAAAAATGAAATAAAAAAAGAAAAATGACAGCGACTACAATTGAATGAGAAAATGACAAATAGATATAGAAGATTTTTGCTAAATAACTGGTGATCGTTCAATAGAGCCTTCACGACTGCTGTCTTTAAGACGACTATCGACTTTGTAACGACGGCGTCTAAAACAAATAATAGTTATGACAGATTAGATTTGTCAAACAAACGAATATTAGATCTTTTAAGTATGACTAATACAGAGCAAAACTTTCCTTCTTCTCGCGTACACCAATTTCTGATACTGACGTGCGAATCAATTAGAGTTTAAAACAAATCTTACCTTGCATTTTGAATTGATGTCGATGGTGGATTCGGCGGGGGTTTTGGAGTGTGACTAAGGAGACTTGAAGAGGATGCATCATCCAGTACATTTGACGAAAATGCTTGTTGTCGACGATTTGATTCTGTGAGTCCTGATGGTTGTTGTTGATCATTATTTGATTGAACAATTCCGTTTGAGTTTGTTGCACTTCCTAGCATACTACCGATTGAACGTTGCAACATCTCACTGCTAGGACCATTGTCTAGCTTATTATAGTAAAACGATGATGAGTAATATGGAAACAAATGATTCGAATTATTATTATTTGTATTTACATTATTACTGCGAGTATTAGAATTGGATGATATTACGTTCAACGGTGAATTTGATGTATTTGCCATTGAATAACTCGGTTGATTCGCACTATGATAAGATTGATAGATATTTGTGGGATTTGGAAATTGTGATATTTGAGTTATGGGAACATCTAATAAATCTTTATAAGATTTACTTCGTGACATAGAATGTAGACGTTGTTGTTGTTGTTCAGATAACATTCTTTGACTTGTATTTGTGATGGCTGTGGGTTTCACTGTTTTATTATCGATTTTACTCGATATAATTGATCCACCTTTATTAATAATTCCATTTAATAATTTATTCGAGGCAAAGGATGACGATAAAATGGGCGTGTTGGTGACCGGCTGAATTGATGATCGTCTAGACGACGTTGTTGCAGTACTAAAACTTGTTGGTGTAGTAGTGTTTACGGTTGAAGATGGCGCTGTAGTATAAGAATAATGATAACCGCCATTTAAAACGCTACCGCCAGTTGAGGACGGTGTCAATGAGTTTTTTTCGTAAAACATTAATTTTTTATAAAAATCATCACCACGATGAGACGACGAAGTTATAACAGGATCAAACGTTTTCATCGGTTGATTTGGAGCCGAACTATTTCGATTATCAAAATCGTGCAAAGACATACTAACGTTCATATTAGTAATATTGTTATTATTATTTAAATTCGTCGTTGTTATAGCAGTATCGTTTCCATTCATGTGCAAATTTTCTAGTCGATTAGTATAACTATAATTGTTGTTATTGTTTAGAATATTTTTCTCTTTCTCTTCTTCGTCATCGTCTCTATTGTCATTTTCTTCTTTGGAATCTAAATAGGGAAAAGCAACGTCATCGCTTCGACTAATAAGTGAGTTCAAAGATAGGGATCATAGTATGCTATTTATTACCAAAGCCCGTCTGCAAAAGATGTAAAATATCCCGAGTATAATGAACAACTACGTTTTATATTGCTCAGTCAGGCTATTAGTTCTAAAATTGCTTATTTTACTGTTTTAATATACCACAAAGTTCCAAAAAGCCAAAGAATGCAAACATAACGCATGTGTAATCAAACATTAAAGGATGTTACTGAATAACTTCCAATCTTTTCAACACTCTTACATAGCGATATAACCGCTATGAGACGATGAAAATGTAACTTATATCAACAAAACTACGTAGTTATATATTAAGCTTAGCAGACAAGCTCAATATCAACACGTATACGTAAAACAAGGTCGGACGTCAATGATGATGATGATGATCCAATAAAATTATAGATGAAAACAGTCGTTTTTTGTAAGTAATTAAAATAGTGTAATATTATCGACCAATTGAGATATGGAATTTACTGTTTCATTATGATATGTGCAATGTTAGATGGTTATTTTCAAATCCGTGTGTAAACTAAGTGAACAAAACATCACCCAATAAAATTTTCTATTATCTACAGCATGCACATAAATCATTAAATTATCTTACTTCCGTAATATTGTTGTTGTGCTGATTGTGAATGTCGTAAAATAAAATGATTTTTTAATATCGATGTTGGAGAATTATTATCGATAGGTAAAGTCTGTTGTTGTTCAATGAATGTTGAATAATTAATTAGACTATCATTTGGAAAATATTGTTGATTCTTTGAATGATATATAATATTTTTATGATCTAAATGTTCAGTTGATTTTGCATGATTTATAATCAAACGCGTGCCGCCAAAGGGTGCTGGAACAAAATAATTTGTTAATCGATTACTGGTCACAGGTTTAAATGATTCATTATTGTTTTGATTATCAAATGGTAAAGAAGAAGAAGATGAAGATGAAGTGGATAGAGACGTATGAGGACGAACGGCAGATGTACACGTGATTAATGGTCTATTTTCATCTGTTGGTAATACTCGGACAGAATAATCAACTAGTTTTTTTACTAATAATGGTCCTGAAGGAGAATTAATATTAGTTGAATGCTGTCGGATATCAATTCGAGTTTCACCATTAGAAATATACTGTCCTTGTTGTTGGATAGGTGTAATAAAAGAAGAATGATTTTGATTATGATTATTACCGTTGTTATTATGTTCAGAGTTTTGGGAACAAGAAATAGTGCATGAATGCTGAATTAAATCATTATTAGATTTCATCATCATCGTTGACGCATTATTTAAGAATTTTTGCGATGATAGACATACTGTACTATCTATAAATGAAGGATATTTAGAAATGTTGGAAAACAGAGACTGAGTTTTATTATGGTTATTATTATCACTCGTACAGTTAAATTGCAAATTTGGAGGGTTAGAAGGGGGTGGAGGCGAATTAGAAGATAAATCGTTTAAATAATGTTGTTGTTGTTGTTGTTGTTGTTCGTTGATATTAGAAGGTTCTTTATGTGTTCTATGTTGTTGTTCGAATTCATCGTCAGATAAACAATGGTCATTTAACTGATTATTACTTGCGTTAAAATTGTTATTCCGATTGACAAAATGATTTTGCTGTAATAATATATTTGTTGTTCCATCAGGTGTTGTAGTTGTTGAAGCTAAAGATGAGCGTTGTTGCTGGTGTTGTTGAGTACTACCGTTATTATCACGATAACTTTCAAATGGAAGACCCTCTGACTGTTCGGTACGTGTAATATTTGTAGTTGTTACTTCTTTCACTAAAATAGATAAAAACTAAATAACACACTCTAATAAAATGTTTCATATGAATTATTCAAATTTGCTGCTGCATACACATACCAATATGCGTATAAAAAGATTATCCGATGACTCATCCTGATTTAATATTGTTCAGATCATCAGTAGTTGTTTTCATTCGAAAAGATAGAAGCAAAAAAAAACTTTTCTTAACGATGTCATCAATTAGTATGTGTTTTGGTAAGCATAGACATTTTGGACACAAAGATCCTATCCAACGTGACAAATGTTACAGACATTTATGTAATTTGTTATGTTTAAGATACATACGCTTATTTTCTTTTCCATCATAAGATTCATCACCACGTAATAAGGATCGATGTATATATTGCTGTCTTATACCGTTCGTAGTAGATGATGTTTGATTTGATGCTAAAATTCCACTTGTACTGTTCGAACCACCATTAATAAATGTTTGATGTGTTTGTGGCGTTGAGTGACTGTTCAATACACCGGCTGTATTTGAGGGCAATTGATTTACTGTATTTGATAAAATAAGATTATTAGTTGCAACATTCTGAACAGGAAGTGAGGATGGAGGTGAAGTGGGTTGTTGTGGAACAGAAGAAGTTGTAAGTAGTGGGGGCGGTTGATGATTGGAGGATTGATCAATTTTTTCTTGAGCATCCTCCCATTTAGCGCTATGTTGATTATCACTAACTTCCGATAAATTTTCGTCGAATGAAATCATCCATTGCGACATCACAGTTTGTGGACCTAAACAAACAATTTTTCGATTATTTCAAATTTTCTAACGACAAATTGCACAACCATTTGGTAAATTATCTTTTCTGCATTTACATATCTATTTATTGCTGCATTGAAGATCACAATCAACTTAGAATAAAAACCCACCTGCTTTTATTGCAAATGTAGCTGCTGGCATTGAGATTGCTTCGCTATCTACTCCCCCGCCACCTTTTGAATCTCCATTATTACTACTATAATTTCTTCTTGAATTTTGTTGTGCTGCCTCACTTCGACTACTGGCGGCTTGAGGCGTACTTGTTGTTGCTCTTGTAGAGCGTGGAGTTTTAGGCGGTTTACCATGTTCGGAACTATAAATACTGAGTCCATTATTCCCAACTGCCGCCACATTCGACGCTCCTGTGTACATGTTTTCCTCGTTGAACGGTGTGGCATCATAATTTTGTTGCGAGTCGCCAATTCGATCAAGACGTTCTGTACTCTTCAAGACATTTGATCTCGTCATTGCAGCCAGGTTCGAAATAGCGCCACCACTACGCAAATACGCTCCAGTTGCTGTTCCACGAGGTTTTCCTGAATCAGAATAAGATTGTGAAGCTGGTGAATCTTCCTTGGCTGGTTTAATTAATCGTTGTTGTTGAACGGTAGAAAGAGATGTTTGTGTGGGTGTAATTGGCTCGAGTGGCGACGATTTTTTTGTACGACGTGATGCTTCTGACACAGCGTTAGTTGGTACCGGTGATGGTGATGTGTTTGTTGTACTCTTCCATAAATCTTGTCCACTTCCACGTCCACTGTCGGTTGTTGTTTGAAGACGTTGTTGTTGCTGATTTGAACTTTTTTCTTTTTCCGTTTTTTTCGATGATGATATGTCTTTTTCATTATTATTAGTCGTTGTTGATCCTCCTGCGTTTGTCCCAATAGATAAATTGTTATTGGTCACTCCCCCACTTGCATACGACCGGCGCGTGACACGATCAAGACTTTTCGGTATGTTACGACGAGGTGAAAATGGAGACTGATCAGACGTACCACCGTTTGTATTAGTTGTTCGAGGAGGTTTCCATCTTTCATCAATTGTATCGGCTTCTGTTCCTTTAGCACCATTAGGACGATCAGTCATAATTGCTCTAGTCATTTCTCTATAATAAGAATAAATAAGTTCATAATTCAAACTAAATGTGAAGGGGTTTTTCATAAAATAATACGTACGCTGATATTTTATTCACGGAACTAACAATAGGTTGTGTTGGTTCTTTTTGTTGTTGCTGTTGTTGAGTTTGCAAAACGGCGGAATTTGGTGTTATTACTTCGTCTTCAGTTTCTTTTTCCCAATCGAATAGTTCACTTTCTTTGATACTGCGTCGTGCAATTGATTGATGAAATAAACTTTTTAATAATTCATAATTTGGTTTATCGACATAATCAAGCGACTGAATATGTTCAAGAAATTGCTAAACAAAATGAAATCAAATTATTACTACGATAGAATTAGTGTTCATCAATTAAAAAGCCTAGTGACACTTTGCCTTTATTTTGATGCTTACTTTAAATTCAGACGGTAAATTTTTCAAGAATGTTGAATGATCATATTTCTCTTTCATTTGTCCAACTTGTTCTTTATCTTTTATCCGTCTCCACGGTAATTGTCCCGTGACAAATTCAATTAACATATAAAATAAACTCCACAAATCATCGTGACGACTCATTTCCTTACGGAAAAAAGGCATAACGTCATACACAATAATAAAATGCTGTTATTTTACTCCGTTTCTTACTTTATTTTTGTGAGCATTAATCGATGCATAGCGTACTGTTCCTCTAAATCCGGCTTGTGGTCGCGCTGCTCTTACAGTTCCTTCAGCATTTGTGTATTTTCTCGCTAAACCAAAGTCTAACATATAAACTTTTCGACAGTTGGACGGTAATCTACCCATAGCAAAATTTGACTGAAAAAGACATAACAGTTTTTAGTTGGCAAAAAATAGAAGAAGAAAAACATACTGGTTTAATATCACGATGAAGAAAACCAATAGAATGTATAGATTCAATAGCATCCAATATTTGAGCACTAATACGCAATGACGTTGATAATGAAAAACATTGTCGCGTTTGACTACGACGTAGTTCAGCTAAATTTTTTCCTTGAAGTGTCATCACGACATAGTTATACATTTCATTTGTTCCACCCCCTAAGAACTTGCACACATGATCTTTGCCTAGAGAAATAACAATAACATCCATTTTTATTAAGAATAAAAAATAATACAAAGAACACTTAAGTACCTTGGAGTCGTCGTAATACAGTAACTTCCATTTTAAGTACTTGTTTAGGCTGTTTTGCAGATTCAAGTTTAAGTGCAACATTTTCTTTTGTTAAGAGATCAAATGCTTCGTATATCTGACCAAAACCTACAATATAAAACAATTATTATAAGTTGTCAGCAACGATTTGTAGCTTATCTATACTCACCACCACCACCGATTTTGGTTAACTAAAAAAAACATAAATATTATGTAATGAGAATAGTGCAGAGAAAAAAATGAAGTAATTTTAACAGTAGTTTGACGCACACTCTGTTTGTCCATACTCAAAATTCTTCTTTTAAATTGCACAGTTTCATCTGTGTCAAGTCATATTTATAGAGAAAACCAGAAACAGCAGTAAGAAAAAAGTCTACTATTCTGAATATGAGAAATTTCAGAGATAATCAACTATGCAAAGTTCTAATAACAGAAATTATGAGGTTGAACAGAAAAAAAAGAAATATGAAACTACGTACCACTTTCCAACGATCACGTACAACGTTTCCTGGTTGTAATAAATCCGCTTCGGACATTATGTCACGAAATGTTTACAAGCATCTTAAACAGAAAATCTACATAAGTATCAACCAAATTCCAAAGCAATAAAAAGTTGAAGTTTGTTCAAATTCTTTCTGACGTAATTAAGAAATGTCTTAAGTTCTTTCTGTCCAAAAACGATTGGTTTCGAGGTAAAGAGTTGAGAAATCTCACTGGTAATTACACTAAAACTTTTTTGATTTTTAGTCTTTCTCAATAAAAATATAACTTTGTGGCGGAGAAGCGTTTATATTTAATAAACTCGTTGAGAATAAACGCTTAAAAACTGATTTATTTGATTTCAAGATAGTTTAGTTACAACGAGATTTAAACATAGTTAAATCTTCTTGATTTGGAGAATCTGATATTTCGGTGGACCGTTATATGGACTCACTCTTAACAGCATTTGACTCCAAATATTTCGTTGTTGTTGTTGTCGTTGCTCTTAAAGTTGTCACTGTGAATGATTATGCAATAAGTATTTAGTAAAAAAATTTGATTCAAACAATACTACCACGTCGATGAAAATGTATTTAGATGTATAACTAGAACAAACAAAGAAAGAGAAAAAAACAATCATTTTGTTTTCTTCTGAACATATTAAAGTTCAGTTGATTCAAAGGAAAAATTCTTGACGATGAGAGTAAAACTAAACAGATGAAAACATTTTTTTTCAAGCCGCAAGTTCATTTTTTCAATTTAACCGTACTGTCAAAAAAGCCAGCGCAAAAAAAAGATCATAGATCTTTTACAAAAGGCAAAGATATTGTTCGACGATGATCAAGAACAATGAATGACTCAATATCTCTAACACTTAGTCATGTAATTTTACTGTATTTTACTAAACAACTTCATACACTATCAGAGATTCGATCAACAATTTTAAGTTTTTTCTAGAGCATACTCATATTATAAGAAAATTCGGTAATCCGCTTGCTTTCGTTTTCAATTCTAGGAGTGGTTAATAAGTTGTCTTAGTATAAATAATAATAAAAACTTTCTCTTTCTCTTTCATATAGAAAACAATTTGACTTAAAGAAAGTTCTGTGTTATATTTATTGCAACAACCCCATGTGATGAATATTGTCGTCTAACATAGTCTTCATTTGTTTATTTGTATGTATGAGAATGGGTATAATAATAAAAATAATTCATACTTGTCTTGTAATTTGACAGTTTTATAATAGAAAAAAAACTGTTTGTTGTTGGTTGCTGGTATAGAGGTAGTTTTCTTCGTCTTTTTCTTCGTTTATTTCCTATTTTTTTCTTTTTACGCCTTTTTTTAAGATTTGGTGTTAATTTGATGATGTTGACAGTACCAATAGTAACATTTTTGGACATGTCATATTGTCTTTGAACAACAACATAAGATTACTACTATTACAATAATTAATTATTATTAATTATACCTTTTTAATATAAAGGAGCAAATAGAATCCGATTTAACAGAAAAATACGATTTAGAACAACATCTAAAACTAAACTAAACAATATATTATTTTGCTTAAAGTTTGGTGTTCGGGCGTGTTTTTTTCTCGAAATATCTATAAAACACATTATTACAGGTACGTATTTGTTAGACACTCACTCATCAATAAAAAAATTCATTCTTCTCGTTTTGTTTGGAATATAATTTCAAAGAAAAAAAAAGAAAAGAAAATGTTTTGTCAATCTTTCATCACTTTCTCTATCTTCTGCTTTTCTATTCCTAACGTATGCATCATGTGTGTGTGTGTGTGTGTGTGCAGTGCGAATTGAATTCGATTTAACCGATCAGTTTCATGGTGAATACTCGTGTATGTGTATGTGCCTATGTTTACGTAACAAAAAAAATCATCATCAATTTCGTGGAGGACATATACGGCGTGTTAAAATCTCGCTTACTTCGCTATCAATCGAATCAATCAATCAATCATAATTAGGCAAGTGTGTAAAGTGTAAAGTGTAAAATGGGAATTTCTTTTTTACATAAAACTAGTTGAACTCACAAAATGAACGTCTTCTAATTAATCTATTAAGAAAAAAAGAAAAAAAAAATCATTTTTAAGCAATTCAGAACACCATTCTGTATCTCTAATTATGTGCATTAAATTAAACAGTAAGGTGATCTAATAAACAAATTTTAATAACATAGAAGTAGAGCCATATTTATCTTGATCAATCTTTGTACTTTCAAACTAAATGCATAGCTACTACATCTCACAGTTTTATTATTATTTTTTTTCGAGAAAACGTTTTGATCTTTCACTACTCAAAATGGTATAACGCTCTCTACTATTCAGATTATAAAGAAAAACAACAATTTTTGGAGTATGTACACAAAACATTATCGTACTTTATTTCTCAAGATAACTCTCTCGCGGTACAACAATGTTATACTACCGAATTATACTACTAGTATAAACAAAAATCAGCTGATGTTCTGATCTTTTATTTTTCTTACTTTTTTTTTTTCTTCTTTTCTTTTACTGTTTTTTCTTTTTCTCTCTCTCTCTCTTGTGCATCAAGAGTTCACAATAAAAACATCTAGGACAAAAGAACTAGTAGTAGAAAAAGTGGTAGTAGTAATAGTAATAGTAATATAAATAGATAAAACAAATAAAAGTATATATCTAGCCAATATATAGTTTATTGACGCAAAAAACAATGTACATGATGATTAAACTCAAACGTTCAGATAGAGAAGAAAAAAAATTTTCAAAAGAAAGAAAAAAAAAAAAAACTGTTAGTGCAACAATTGTCGTTTATGTTACTAGTCATGTTCATTACATATTGTTACAGTTTACTTTAGACATTCAATCCATTTATTTATTCAAATGAAATGATAAAACAGGAACAATTTTTTTTTGTGAACAATTTATTAGAGTAGGTATCAAAATGTCACCTCAATCCAGTACTTTTGTGTCGATCTTTTTTTTTAATTGAATAACTGAATGACGACTTTGAAAATGATTTCTAAATAATCTTTTCATGAATGGTTTGTTTTTCTAATGTTCGAGTCTTCCAAATTAAGTTATAGTTTGAGATTTACTCATTAAATGAAAATGTTAAAATAGAAGCTAAAACTTTTCTATTTTCTAAGATTTAAATCTATATTCATTGTCACAGCGAATGTCTCTGACATTTCTAAATTAGAAAGAGAATAAAAAATGTGTTTTCAATATCAATATCAATAGACACTCAGCATGATCATACAAGAAATTAAACAAGAAAAATATTGAATAAAAGAAAGAGAAACAGAAAAATCAAAGAGAATAATAAAAGAAAAGAAGATTGAAGTACAACTAAAGACTTTTTCTCACTAAATGAATCTATTTCACAACATCAATTTTTAAAAAGTAAAATATTTTACACAATTATTTCATATTGATTTAAAAAACTCATTACGTTATTTATAATTTATCATCAATTTTCTCTATCATTTTTCACACTAAAAATTAACTTTAAATAATTATTTTTTGTACACAATTAAATAAATACCTGGAAATAGAGAACAGTTTACATTATTATTTTTTTTTATTCTTTATGACATAATAAAACGAGAAAACACTGTTCTATAAAATAATTTCACTAAGTTAGATACATTTATTTCTTTTTTCATATTTAATGATATTTTCTATGTATTCTCAAAACGTATGCGTTGTATCCTATTATTGATTTCCAAGAGAATATGATAATAGTTTATTTTGGATACAAACAAAATGTATCGCCATCGATAGACAGACTGTATGTGATTGTGTCATGCCAGTATCATCTTACACGACAATAATCGTTCTTCTATCAACAGTATAAGTATCAATGACGAAATCTTTTTTGATAAAAAATGTTTGACAATATTAATAAACATAAAAAAGACATTTAAGCACTACACTACATAAACACTAATTTGCCAGAGGATATTCTACATTTTCTCAACTTGTCCAATATCAATGTGAGCTCAAATTTCATATTCTGGAAATGAAAAATAACAACAGAAAGATAGTTCAAATATGATAATAACTATTTTAATCATATTTAGTTTTTTAAGCAACTAAATTCGTTTAAATTTATTTAATCAAACATAAGCTTTCGAATCAGTATAAGATTCATTGAAGTATTGAAATAAATTAATTTATATGCTCAAAAAATGCTTAAAATATTTATTAATGAAATTCAGTCACTGAAGATAATTAATAAATATTTTAGTATCTACATGATAGAATTTAACTTTAAAAAATAAAATAAAAAATATTTTATAAATATCAATCTCATCAAAAACTCTTCATGCACTTATACAAATCGTAACATTATTCTGTTATGCTAATTTTTTTTAGGACTGTTGCATTTTTTATTGTGTTAGACGATAAATTTTATGCTAATTTAATGTTTATCATTTCTTTTCCGAACAAAAAAGAAAAAAGTCGACTAGTAAGTTTGACGTTTGATCTCGACAATATAAGAAAAAAAGAAATAAAAAAACCAAAAAAAAGAAAACAGAATACAGTCATTCTTGATGAACTACTCACTGATTTTTATATTTTCTCTAAAAAGACAAGGACTTGTCCAGTCTGTTCTATCAAAAATTTTGTATGGATTCCATAAGCGAAAAGTTTTATTTCTGAACACACAACAACACGTAACAAAAAAAGGAAAAAAGAAAAAAAAGAGGACAATTTTTTGTTCTGTTCATGAAACAACATACACACAGTGCACAAAAGAACTCAACGCGATTATAGACGGCCAGACAGACAGTACAGCGTGTAGAAAAAAAAGAACAAGTGAACGAAAAAAAGAAACACACGAAGGAAAAGAATACATGAAATGGACAATACAATGCGGCAATAAATATGCCGAGACTTTTTTTTTTTTGTCCACATGGTATATTCCTTTTTCTTCTCTATAAAATATGTACGATTAATGCACAAAAAAAGA